GCTTCCAACAGCTGCCAGGGACTTCAGAAGGCTGAACGCTGCCCCTTGGGGCTGGAGAGTCCGGTGCTCTAAACCCACTACCCTAACGACCCACTGTGTGCCTTTTCCGCGAATGCGCTCAGCCAGTCCTCAACAAGCCTCCGGGCAGGTTCTGCTCCACACATCTCACAGAAGGGAGGCTCTGAGAGCAGAGGTCAAGGACACACAGCTGGCCTGCCGACCCCCTTGTCCCCACAGTCTCTACTGTAACACAGTGGGTCCCCCAAAGGGCAGGGGAGGTCCCAACCCGAGATGCCTGAGAGGCTGTGCCGGGGAAGGGTGGCCCTCAGCCCAGGAGACCTGGGGGTCCAGGCCAAACCTCGCTGCCAGTTGGCTGTGTGCCTTGGGGAATTCGCCGTGCCTCTCTGATCCTCAGTTACTTCATCTGAAAAATGAGCTTGGTTAACACTTGTCCTACTCTCTCTACTAGGTGGCCTTATTTTCTCAATCTGAACGCGTGCCCCGTGGTGTGACAAGTCCAATCTTACTTACAGAAGCAACGGAAGAGAAACCGTGAACGCTGAGTCCTTGAGATATGTGATTCACAGCCCCCATGGGGCCAGGGGCTGGGGACGTGTTTCTTACACACCCACCTTGGGGAGGCCTACTGCAGGTCCCGGGGTGCGGGGTGGGGGTCGGGGTGAAAGGGCAGGTCAGTTCATTCAAGGGCATCTGCTGGGCCTCCATGCACACAGCCCCAGTGAGGAGTATAAGAGGCCCTGGGGCTGGCTGGGGTAGACAAGGCCTCAGCTGACCGGCCCTCACACTCCGGGGAGTGCACTAGGGTTTACAAACCCTTCATGTCGTTATGATGGAAACTTCCAGAAGCCCCTGCAATGCAGGGATCATTCCCTACTCCATCTTATAAAGGAAGTCTCCAAAAGGGAAAATAACCTGCCCAAGGTCACCCATTTAGTCAGAAGGAAAAGCCAGCTTCCAGATCCCCAAACCTTCTACTCCCCACCCTGAAATGTTCATCACAATATAATCAAGGTCCCCAGAACCCTTATGAGGAGGCAGGATTGCGTTTTGCTCTTTACACGGATTATTTTGGCTTCATCTTCAAAACATCACGATTTATGGATGAGGAGTCTCGGTAACTTGCTTGAGTCCTATCCCCAAGTTTTCGCCACCAGGAAGTGAGGCCAGTATTAACTGAGAGCAAAACCAGGCTCCCAGGAGGGGCTGGGAAACATGGGGGCCGGAGGGGGGGGCGGTTAAACATCTGCCTTCAGCTAGGGTCGCAATCCCGGGGTCCTGGGATGGAGCCCCACATCGGGCTCCCTGCTCAGTGGGGAGCCTGCTTCTCCCTCTGCCGCTCCCCCTGCTTGTGCACACACAGGCATGCGCTCTCTCTCTCTCTCTCTCTCTCTCTCTCTCTCTCTCTGACAAAAAAAAAAAAAAAAGACTGGGGGTGAAGGCAGCCTGACCTGTCCCTGCGGGCTGGACAGGGCCTTGAGGGCAGCCCCACCTCCCTGGGACAGGGCGAAAGGCACACACCCGAGCCACCTCACAGAGCCCGCACACCCCTACCCACACAACCTCCGAACCTCTGCCCTCTGCCCTCCGCCGAAAGCCCAGCACTTGACATCCTGTCCCACAAGAGGAAGAGTCAGACCCTTCAGGTCCCAGAACAGGGAACCAACCGAGGCAACCCCAGAGGGTTCCTAGAATAAGAGAACGGGCCTCAGGATCATCCATCCCCATATGTTACAGACAAGATATCTGAGGCCCTGAGCACCCACCTGGCAAGCTGGGGCAGAGCTGGGACTGCCTGGGCCAGAGCCCCCCACCACACCTGCACGCCCCTCAGCTGTCCATCCAGAACCAGAATCCAATCTTACCTTGTCCCACTTTCTCCCTCCTCCCCCACCCCCCCCCAATGATCTGATTGAGCGGGAGCAAAGCTGGGGGGCGGGGATGCACTTCCTGATACGGAGGGGGGCAGGGTGCTTCTGCAAAGCCTTCTCCCCTCAGTTGGCCCCCACTCCACGGTTTTCAAAGATTGAGGCCACTGAGCCATTTAACGAATATTTGCAGAGCTCTTCCCACTCATCACGGAGCAGAGGCATCTCCTCCGGCCACCAGGCCATCCCAAGGCCTTTGGCAACCATCGCATAGATTCATTTGACAAACACTGAGGTCCTACTAGGCACCAGTCACATTTCCTCTCCTCCCGCCACTCCTCCCTGCCTCCCAGGGCTCAGCTCCTCCCCCTCTCCCCTGCGTCCCCGTGGCCCCTTTGCATTGGCAAGAGGGCAAATTCTGGGGGCGCTGGGGAGTCACAGAGCCCAGGGCGGCTGACTAACCAGCTGACAGATGCATGCACACCCCAGGGTTACCTGGTGTGGGCCCAGGGCAGCGCAGGCAGGCGCCTCTCTGGCGGAGGCCTCGGAGGTACTGCCGCCCAGGTCCTGGGGGCCGCTCACCCCCTCCCCGCCCCCCACCTCCTTCGACCCCACGCCGCTGGGCTGCTTGGAAAACCCAGCCCCAGCCCAGCTGACTTCCTCTTGTGTCATGGAAAGTGTGGTGATGAGAACAGGAAACTCCCGCCTGGGATCTGGGGTCTCAGCGGGGACAGCGAGCCTGGAGGTGGGAGGGGTAACTCGAGGCGGGTGGGCATGGAGGGAGGGCTGGATGAGGCCGAGGAGGCCCGAGGAGGGAGAGGAGGGAGCCCACCAGGCGCGGGGAGTGGGGAAGGCCTGGGTGGAGGCGCCCTGACCGAGCCCCCAGGCCCTGAGCTGCCTTCAGTTTTCCAAAAACAAACAGAAAGGATTAGAAACCCCGCCTGCCCTTGCCTGTGATCACATAAATAGCCAAATTTTCTGTTTGTTTTCTTTGCTTTGGGTCTGTGGGGGCTGGGGAAGGGGGGAAGTGGCAAGGGTTTTAAAGAGCGAGTAAAGAATGAGCGTTCAAATCTTAGTTTTGGTCTCTTGAGGCCAAGTGCATTGCTTTCTGAGCCTCAGTACCCTCACCTGTGACATGGGAAACCACCCCCCGCCCACAATGCTTGGGAAAAATAAAAGAGGCCCCACCCGGGCTCACCGAGGTGCTCAGTAAAATGCCTTCTCCCTTTCACAGTGCAGTTCTGTAAACCAAGTGTTAACGGGGCCTGTGAAAGGCCACTTGCTACGTGGGGCTAGTGTGACCGATACAAGCTTGCTAAACACTGAGACTTTAAGAGAAAAATTATCCAGAGGGGTCCTCGGGGTGTAAGCAGAGCGGGGCCCATGTCTGTCCCCTTCATCTCTGCATCCCTGGAGGTTAGCATGGGGCAAAATTCTGTTGAATAAATGAATGAGGGACGCCTGGGTGGCTCAGTCGTTAAGCATCTGCCTTCGGCTCAGGTCATGATCCCGGGGTCCTGGGATCGAGTCCCACGTTGGGCTCCTTGCTCGGTGAGGAGCCTCCTTCTCCCTCTCCCACTACTGCTCCCCCTGCTTGTGTTCTCTCTCTCTCTCTCTGACAAATAAATAAATAAAAATTAAAAAAAAAAGAATAAATGAATGAGTGAATTAATGGATAAAAAGTCTGGGATTTCGGGGTGCCTGGGTGGCTTACTCAGGTTAAGCATCCAACTCTTGATTTTGGCTCAGGTCATGATCTCAGAGTTGGGCTCCATGCTGAGCGTGGAGCCTGCTCAAGATTCTCTCTCTCTCTCTCTCTCTCTCTCTCTCCCTCCTTCTGCCCCTCCCCACCCCTGTTCGCACATGTGTGCTCTCTCTCTCTCTCTCTCTCTCTCTCTCTAAAAAAAAATTTTTTTTTTAAAGTCTGGGATTTCCAGAGTCCCAGGACAGGAGGGAGGGATGTGAGGGCAGGGGGCAGGGCCTGGAGGGCTGGCTGATGCTAAAAAGGCCCCTCCTACTCCTGTACAGGTGGTCAGGGCTGTCCTGGGTCCTCAGTCTTTGATCCGGCCTCCATTCTTGCCTCTGGTGAGCAGATGCAAGCACCTGGAACCCCCCTCACCACGGAGACACGGGGAATCTGGGGAGCCAGGTGCCCAGGGAAGGAGGGGCCGAGGAGCTGGAGCCGCTGAAAGGGGTTGGAAGGGTGTGGCTGGGAGGCCTTCACGCTCACTTCGCACTTCATACTTGTTCACAGTCATCTATGTGTCTCTGAACCATGTCGTGTCTCCTGGCGTGGCTCAGATTATAGGAAGCCCGAAGGAGCCCATGGTCTGGGTCTGCCCCGTCCTGGAGAGCAGAGGGACTGAACCTGGCCGGGGCCCAGGGGCTGCAGCCCTTCCCCCCATGCTAGGTACCCCCCCCCCCAGCTAATTTGCTGAAACCCAGCCACCCTGCTCTTCCCCAACAGGCCAGAGGTTGATTCCAGCCCTTGTGGGGGCAACATTGCATGGAGATCATACATACCTACGTAGAAATCACACAGAACGACATGGAGATCCCACACACACGCACACGCACACGCACACACACACGTGCGCCCAGGCCCAGCATTCATGGAGGAGCCCTCGTCCACGCTCTATGGTAAAATACCACCTGTGGAGCTTCACCTCAAATTCCCACCTCATCCCCGTGAAGGAGATACAGACGGTTTCATCTGGTTTTCCACCACTGTGCCTTTGGCAAGAACTGGTGTGGCCTCCACGTCCCCTTGTCACCTCCTAGCACAGCTCAGCGCCCTTTCAGTGAGACCCCCGCCCCCCAGGCCCCTCAGGCCTGCCCTCAATGAGGCCAGGCCTCCTCCCTCCCAGCCACCGGGCCCAGAGCTGCCCCACGCCGTAGCCCCGCCCCGGCGTGGTGTGGTGGGGGCACTGCCCCAGCCCTGGGCACCTCAGGCAGGAAGCTGGCAGAGGCCAGGGCCGCCATTCAAACTGGGGCAGATGGTTTTACCGGGAGGAAGTTGACAGTTCGACTTCAAACACGGGTGACGCAGGCCCCACGCTGTCTCCTGCCCCCCCGCCCCACCCCTGCCGGCGCCTGCCCGCCCCACCCCCTCCTCCCTGAGAGGGAGACCCAGGACCAGACACCTTTCACCCACGGGTGCCGAGCTTGCCAAGGCTGAGGCAAGAGGAGGCCATGCCCATGGGGTTTCAGCGACCGCCGCCGGCCGCCCTGTACCTGCTGGGGGTGCTGGGTGAGTACCGGGGCACGTACGGGGCTACTGGGACTCGGGGTGCGAGGGGGTGCCAGTTCTTGCCCTGGTCTGATGCAGGCCCGCATGTACCCTCTCTGGAGCATCACGGAGGGTTGGGGGCCGCCCTGCTTGTCCCCCCATCCCTTTACCACCTGTCCCAGCTCTGCTTCGTTCTTGCACTGCAGGGGTCTTCCTGCCCCCGTTCAGGTGGGACCCACAGGAAATCAGACTCTCAGCCCCCATCCAGTGTGAGCCTCCTCTACAGCCCCCCCAACACACACACACCTTGAGTGTCTGGCCTTCACCTAGATGCGCCCAGGCACAGGGCACCCACAGTCTCCTGGGCAGTCCTGATGATGCTCTGAGCACAGTGGGCCATGGCAGGGTGGGGGCTGCCGCTGAGAACACAGCTGAGCATGTGCCAAAGGCTCCCTTAGTCCCAAGTCCTCCTGACTCTCCCGGAGGTGCCCCAGCCAGGCCGGCCAGCCAAGGTGTGAGCACACACTGGGTCTGTTCTCACTGCAGGCCCAGGGGAGGGGCCAGTGTGGAAGCAACCTGGGGCCTCTGAGAAGCTGGCTGGGGGTCAGATTAGAGGCGGGTGAGCCTGGGGCCTCCTGTTTGCTGGGAGGGAGTTGATGGAAGCTGGCCCATAAATATTTATGAAATGCAGGGGGTGAACTGGGTGAGGTCTGACCACTTCTCAAGGGTTTGGAGGATACTGCGGGGCAAGAGAGATGCTCGACTGCAGGCCAGGTGGGAACAGGGCGGGTGTTTCGTCTTCCCGGTTTGGAGGCCAAGGACCGGGGGCCGTTGGCTGCCTGATCAGGGAGCCTCAGTCCCTCCTAGACAGGCTGGTGTGTAGTGTGAGTAGTTTGAGTAGGTGTGAATGTGTGTGTTAGGAGGTAAGTGTGTGTTGGTGTGTATGAGAAGTGTGTGTGTGTGTGTGTGTGTGTGTGTGTGTGTTCATGGGCCAGACACGTCTCCAATTGTAGGTTTACCTTCTGCCCGTGCATGTGATGATGGCCCAGGTGCTCGCATGTTCACACCGCCCTTCTCACATGAACCGCAAAGACATACAAAATGCCTCCCGTCCCCAGGGCAGAGGCCTAGAGATGAGACCCTCCTGAGGAGCTGCTGTGGCCTCCTTGGCCCTGGGGGTTCCTAGGATGGGGTCCTTGATGCCACCGGGGCAGGGAGGCTGGCCAGGGGATGGGAATGGGGTCCTGCTCTCTGGGCCTCCCATCTGAAGCCCATATCATGGGGCCAGGCTTCTGGCAGGATCAGGCAGCTCCCCGAGGCCAGCAGAGCCGGGAGTCAGGGAGACTGGGAGACAGCACCTTCCCCGGGAGTATGGGAACCATCTGGAACCCCAGGAGCTCATGCTTTCCGGTGTGTGTGTTTGTGTGAACTGGCAGATAATAAGCATTCCCATTGTTCAATGGGTCACCGCTTACAAAATACCTTTGAAGCCATTTTCTTCTGTAAGCTGCAGAACAGCCTAGGAGGGGGGCGGGCCCCAGCGCCCCATTTTATAGTCGGGAAACCGGAGTTCCAGAAAAGCCAAGAAGCAAAGCCCAGGGCACGGCAGCTAGTAAGCAGCAGGGACCCAGGACCCGCACTCCTGCTCTCATGGAGGAGAGTTACCCTCAGAGTACAGACACACCAAAGCCACTCCCACAAGTAGGAAAAGGGCCGCAGGTCACAACTACCTTGTCAGACATGCCCCAGCAAGGGCAGGGGAAGCTGAGGGCAGGGGACGCCGAGGGCCAGGGCTGGGGCTGGGGGCCAACAGCACGCACACCCTTTGAGCCATTCCGGGAAGAGACACCTGGCCACCAGAGCCCTGGGGAGGCTGTGTCTCCTGGCTGGCCACCAAGGTTGTGACTAGGGGAACTTTGGGGCACGAAGATGCCCACGGCATGCCTGGGGTGGTAGTCACAGCTGGTCCCCTCTGTCACTGCCTTTAGCCCCAACCTGCCTGGGGCTCACCTGCTCGGGGAGCAGGGTTTGGAGACAGCCCTGAGGGTCAGGCCCGGCCACCGGGATGGCAGAAGCCAGCACTGGGGCCATGGCAAAGTCATGGGCGCTGCCGTTTGGATTCTGATCTGCCACTTGCCAGTTGGGTGACCTTGGACCATACTATAAGCCTCAGTTTCCTCCTCTGCAGAACGGGAATAATAAGAGTCTGTGTCTCGTATAGAGATTTGTAAGGATTAAACGAATCGATTATGGAGCTCTGCAGAGGAATGTCAGTTCAAGTGTAGTAAGTGCTCAGTAAGCATGGATGGTCCTAGTAATTACTACCATCATCATCACCAGGGTCGGAGTCGGCAGGGAGCAAGTGAGCTCGGGACGTGGTGGAAAGTCTCGCCAGACGCCAGCCTGGCCCTCGCTCCTTCTCTTCCCCAGTCCTCTGACCCGGGCGATTCCTGCCTTCATTCATCCACCTACAAATATTTGTGGGCCATCTGCTGTGCGTCCAGCACTGTGTCAGGCACTGGGGATCCAGCAGTAAACAAGACGGGAGTCCTTCCGCTTGTGCAGGGAGCACCCAAAATAGTTACAAATTCCTAAATGTTGTGGTGAGTGCGATGCAGAACACAACAGCAGCTGTGACTCAGTGGCCACGGTCCCTGAGGAGCGGGCCCAGTCCAAGGGGAGGGCCTCTCTGAGGCGGTGGCATCTCCTCGGAGACACGGACGCAGGAAGGAGCCAGCCAGGCAGAGCAGAGGGGGAAGTGTCCCATAGGGGTTGGCAAGGACAAACGCAACAGGCGGGACAGGAGCGAGAGGGGCTGGGCATCCACAGGAGACAGGGGGGTGGCCCGGGGGCTCTAGCTTCAAGCAGGCTTGCCCGGTCCACTGTCGCCTTGCTGGCTCTGGGCGCAAAGAATTCAGCGCCCAGCAGCCCAAGCTCCCCACCCCCAGTGGGGAATAGAGGAACCCCGGGGGCTCCAGTGCTGGCACTGGCCCCTCTGGTCACTCTGTCCAGTTCCAACACTTCCCCGCAGAGCCAAGGAGGGATTTCAACCTGATGAAAGGATTCCACCTGATGAAACTGATTGAACACCTAGCCCCTGCGTGCGTGTGTGTGTGCCTGCATGTGGGGACATGTGCGAGCACACGTGTGCATGCTGTGTGTGCACACGCGTGCATGCTGTGCGTGCACACGCGGTGTGTGTCCTTGTGTGCATATGTGTTGTCTGTGCACGCAGGTGCGTGAAGGCCTGTGGGGCTTTGGAGTCGCGCAGATTGGGCTTTGATTTCTGTCGAGCCCCTCACAAATGATAGGAACACGTCTCAGAACCTCAGGCTTCCCATCTATAAGATGGGGCTGACCACCACGCCCACCTTCAAGGACAATGCAATCGTGAATCTGGTTCATTCACTCATTCAGACAGCAAGCGTTTATTGAGCACCTTCTATGTGCTGGCCACTATTCGAAGTGCTGGGGACACAACTGAACCATCGAAATCCCCACCCTGACAGATCCAACATAAGAATCGGGGTGTGATGGGGAGACAGACAGTGATGGCATGGGTGCTGGGAGCTCATGAGTGGGGTGGGGCTGGGGGGTTGGGAGTGCTGGGCACTGTGCTTACCCCAAGGAGGGTGCAGTGGGTCTCATGAGTGGATAATGTTTGGGCAAATGCTTGTAGGAAGTGAGGGAGTACACAGTGTGGGCCTGGGCAGGACGATCCAGGCAGAGGGGCAGAGTAGAAGAGGAAGTGTGATGAGTGCCCTCGAAAGGAACGGTCCCCCACACCTTTCCAGGTCCACACATCCTTATCCCCAACCTTGGGCCAGACGCGTTTGGGAATTCGGAATTTTCCAGATTGTGGGTCATACTGCATATGTGCTGTGTGCTCATCACCTGCTAACGAGGTCTTGGGCAACACCCCCGAATCGAACGCATTCCCATTCAGTGAAACATGAATTCACACCCTAAGAGAGACCCATAAAGGCTGCAAACACCCTCCTGCCAAGTGCACTAGAAAAGACTTACAGTTTGGGGTCCTGAGTTGCAGGTGAAGGATTATAGCCCCAGATCACTTCCTCCATAGATACTACCATCATCAGCATCACGTCCTGTTCCCACGGGAACCCTGAAACTCCCTTTGCCGTTGGGGCACAGCTGCGACAGATGTGGTGGGAACAGGATAAGAAATTGGTGGTGACTGGCAGAAGCAAAAAGCGTCCTGTGCCACCACAGACACCCATGGAGACATCCAGGGTGAGCCTTTCCCTCCTTGGCCTCAGTTTCCCCTGTCTGTACCCCGGGATGAGCAGGCTCCAGGTTCTCCCAGTGGTAGATTGCCGTGATGCGGTGGTGATGGGGTTTCTTGTCCTGACTCTACCATCAGCAAGCTGTGTGAACTTGGGCAAGTCGCTCGGCCTCTCTGAACCTCAGTTTGCTGATCTGAAAATGAGAATGAGCGTGGGCCATGGGTGGAAAAAACTTTGGGATATGTGATGCTCTGAACAAAACGGAGGGCTTGTCACTGTCCCAGTGGAGATGCAGTGGAAATTCGGGCAAATTCAGTTGGACACAGCAGGCCACCAGCGAGAGAACGATCACGATGTAGACTGTGACAGCCATTCTGCCCGCGATCAGCTCACATCCACGGGTCGGCGCAGGCCCCGTGAGTGGGATTAGAGGCCCGAATCTGCTGTTCCTTCTGCGGGCACCAGTCCCTGGGCTTCTCCTGACATAAGCTCGGTGTGACCCTCTGCGTGTCTTGCACATAAAAAGGCTCCTGATCAAAAACCAGCCACTTCATCTGGTTCTCCACTGAGAAACAGATCTGGGGCCTTTGTGATCTTTGTTCCCCTAGAGCCTTGATACAGACGCGGGGTAGACAGCACTCCACTGATTAGTATCATTTCAGATAAAGGGGGTTTCTGACCTTTCAACTCAGCCTCTCATCAGAGGACGAAAGGAAGACAAATCCAGAATGCCCCCAAAAGGCAGTCCGACATGTGGTGCTCGCTGTGAATTGA